CTGGATTTGCAACATGTACTTAGTCGTTTCTAGCCTCCATTTCTTCCTTAAATATTATAGCTTCTACTACATAAAGGATTTCTCTGGTGATTAATTGAATCCTAACACAAAACCTGGTGCGTCGTAGGGGATTCATAAACACTCATTTTCCTCCCCCTGCCTTCCATATGAGCAAGAGTGCCCAAACCTCGGCCTTCCGTGCCTCTATCATGTACTTTAATATTGGTGAAACTGAATCATTTCTAGATAGTTGTAATAGTCACCTTATTTTCCCTTTTCTACAACGTGGGGAAGTAACTGAAGCCATCCTCAATCTCAGAGTCCCACTTTGTAATTTATAAACCAGCCTACATCTAGCTAAGGCTTCAGAGTGAAATGCCTTGATGGTTTCCATCGGGCTAGCAAAAGGCATCAGGGCCAGACTGCAGAGTCATATGTTGTATATGTTAGTGCATCGAGCCAGGCCCTGTTACTTCCAACAGCTGCTTGTACATACGCTGATTTATTTTCTTCTTTGATGTTAAGATAAGCATTAAGTCAGGGATAGCTAGTCCTTTATTCCTACATCCCAATAAATACACAATATGAAGGGATAAATGGGAGTTTTATTCTGGATGGTACCAACTGTAGGACAGTCACCCTTGGGAATGTGAAGAGGGCTGCATCGATCATCCTCCAGCTGTGCTCTGTAGAATTCTGATGCCCCAGGAAGGCAGCTATGCTATCCTGAAACTTGTTGAGATGGCTAGTTAGAACTGGCTAGAACTGCTTTGTCACAAGATCCATCACTGAATGGAGTGCAATTCTCAGAAGAGAACCACAGCCGAGGTGTCTTGAGTACATCTTTGAGAGGTGCTGAAAGATTTACCTGGCTTTGGCAGCAGGCATTGCACTCATCTGCAGAGATCTGCCTCCCCACCAAAGTGGAACTGATGCTGGATGGTCACCCCAGGCGACAGTTTCTGATTTGCACCCCTGCCCCTGCAGGTCTGCATTTTACTTTCCTTTCTCCCTTAGGTGGATGAGGGAGGCAGGGCACCACTCTCCCTCCACCATTTCTTTGCTACGGATGATCACGACAACCTTCAGGGTGATGCTGTCATTAAACTAAGCGCTCTACCCAAGTATGGCTGCATTGAGAACACAGGAACAGGTAACCACAGTGACTTAGCTGGATAACTTATTTCTGAGCTGGAAATGGGGGATAGTCTAATTAAACCTGAACCTGGAGAATTAAAGTGAGATGGACCCATTTCGAGAAAATGGAGGGAAAGGTTTCTTTCATTTAAAAAAAAGACGATTTAGCATTTTCTTTATGCCACACCTTTTTATGCATCAGAGACACATCAATCAACAAAACAGACAACCCTCTCCATCTCCTTATTGACTTATGGACCCATTTCGAGAAAATGGAGGGAAAGGTTTCTTTCATTTAAAAAAAGACGATTTAGCATTTTCTTTATGCCACACCCTTTTATGCATCAAAGACACATCAATCAACAAAACAGACAACCCTCTCCACCTCCTTATTGACTTGTATCCTAGCAGAGAGAATGGGAAAATGGTGTGCTAGAAAGTTAATAAATGCTAGGAAAAACTAGAGCAGAGTAAAGGAGTTTGGAGTTTGAGCTATGGGAGCTGAGGGGATTACAAGTTGTATTCAGAACTGGGGGTCTGGAAAATTAAGATCCCCGAATCTTTCCTTCAGATAAACCAAAGCTTGTGTCTCAGTTTCCTCTACGGACATGACATAAATTTAAATTCATGCTGTCTCTCTTTGACACCCTCTTCAACATCCCTCCCCTCTACCATCTGCCCTAGACCCCACTGGAGGTTATCACACAAGGAGAGGCAAAAAGGCATGTGCAGTCCACAGGCCCCCTGAGGCCGGCTGTGACTGGCAGCTCAGACAGCTCCTGCCGATTTCTGAGCTGCTGCGTCTGCAATGAGATTCCCAAGTGAACAAGTGCCAGTGCTGGGCTCTAATTGGCACACAGCTAGCAGCTCCCACAGACAGACCATTGACTGCAGGTGTCTGTGTCCAGCATGGTGCCTGCCACTCGAGCCCAGTAACCGGAAACTCAATTAGAATGGTCATGTTTTCCTATCAAAAGTCTTGGATGGTTTCCCTCTCTTGTCTTTCCATGTGTGCATGCAGGTTTGTTTATTGCATAATTAAGCTCCTTTCAGCAAATGTTTGTGCTAGATACAATGTTAACATGAATGACATTGACCCTGCCTGGAGTGGAGGACAGCTAGACTGATGAATTACATGATAAATGACAGGAAAAAGAGCAAAGCACTGAGGGCATAGAACAAAGCAATTGCTTCAGCCTGAGAAGGCAGAAAATCCCCAGGGTCACAGAGAGTCGCTATGGGCAAAGGAAAAATGGCATCCCCTGTAGAGACAAGCATGCATGGGTGAGGTGGGAGGTCATGAAAGGCCATTGCCCCTTCCTACCTCTGCTCTCCATGTGGGTTCTTTCTCTGGAAGCCCTTGTAGCACAGTTTGACATTTACCTGAAGCACATGAGGTGGCAGGTAGGCCACATTGGGGGATAGAAGTCACAATTCTGGCAAATCTCAGCCGCTCCAGAAAGTGACCCTCAAACTTTTATGTGTGAGAGCATTATCTGAAGGCATTGTGAAAATGCAGTCTCTCGGACAGAGACACAGAATTTCTGTTGAAAAAGTTGGTGTAGCCTACAAACTAATACATTTTGTCACTCTGTGTGTGATGGACAACATGGCTTCTGGTCCTAGGACCACTAAGAGACTCTTCATTCTCTAGTGGCATGGGTATGAACCTGAAGGGAAAGAAGACACTCAAGGGCACAAAATAATTGCCCAGGTTATATCAACTGAAGATGCCTCCCTTTCCTCCTTGGTGAAGCCCGGTGCTTCAATTTTGAACCAAGTGTTTTGTTTGCTGATGAAACCAGCTTCCTAAATTTAATTCCAGCCCATTGGAACATATTTTTAAATCTGGAGGCAGCAGCTCTTACTTTTTACCAAGCAGTAGGGAAGACAGAATGATTACAGTGTTGGGTGTGAAAACTAATGGTGTAGAATCAAAATCCACTTGGGACTGGCCTGATCAGGGCAAGACCCACTGCATTGCTCTGGGGACATCTGAATTCCAGTGCTGAGGAAAGCATGTGTCCAAGATGACAGCCACACTCATCAAAAACTATTTAATTTGTACCTAGGACATTCTGCTGAGGAAGGCAGGGAACACACTTCAATGATGTACAGTAAAAATAGAAAGTGCAATTTTAAAACTTGGAAAGATTGGTGCTTAAGGCTTCAGTGTCTGGCTCCCTTGATGGCCAACTAACTCTCCAACAATTTTAAAATAAGGCTCATTTTATTGTGTATGTTTTGAGGGATCATTTACTGAGGCTTTTCTTAACCCAGATAATAAAGCCACACATCCCAATTTATAATGATCAATGAAAGGAGAAAGTAAAACTTGCGGGCATTCTCAGCAGTTAGTGCCAGAAACCCTAATCTCTGTGTCTTGGGGATTGCTGAGTCATTGACTGCCTGGGTCTCTCTCTGCTTCAATTTTCTTCCTCTTCTTTCAAACAAGTTGTGAAAAGCAAGCCAACAAAAGACATTTTCAGTCCTAGTCTTTGCATTGGGATACCAACAGATGACACTGTCTAGCGTTGGAAAGTTGATGGCCTTTTATGGAATCTGAGGCTTATGAAGTGTCATAAAGAAGGAAGCCTTTTTTGTTTCCATATGGACCACCTCTATTTTAGAAATGTGTAGACACAGTTTCTTTTTTCTCTACTCTAGAAGACGATGGTAGCAAATTAAAAGCCAATCAATTAGAAGAACTTGGCTAAAACCAAATACAGGCCAAGCCATCCATCGCTTGGGCATTGCTTACTCTTCCCTTTGGCCTTTTGCAGCCTTTGTTGTTGGGTGAGAAGAAGAAGCAGGAAGCAGCAAAGCACAGAACTTTGAGAGGTGGTACATGAGCATCTCACATGTAGCCCTGTTGGTCAGCTTTCAGTTACTGTAGCACACACCCGAGATAAGTCAACTTCTAAAGACAAGGTTTGTTTTACTCCTGAGATGAGTGACAGCAGCCATTGGTCAGTTGGACCCTCGCTGTGGTGATTCGTCATAGCCAAAACAGGATGGCAGCACAAAGCACTCTCCTTAAGCCCAGGATGTAAAAAAAGAGAAAGAAAGAAAGAATGGTCCTAGTATTCCTCCTCAAAGGCCCCTAGTGAATCCAAAACCTCCCACTTCATTCCATCTCCTAAAGGTTTTACACTACAGGCTGGAGACTAACACATGGTCTTTGAGGAAGACTTCCCAAACTATAATAGCACTTCATCCCTGAAATGGACCTGAACACTTCCATATCTATATGGTACCTGAGTGTCATGGCATCTACATGTTCTCTGGGCACCAAGTAGCCCTGGCATACTATCCTATGGGCTGGGTTCTGACTGACAAATAGGTTCCTTCAAGAAATTGGGAGAGTACACCTAGAATATGGGAAAGAGTACTGTAAAATGATGTCTTCTAGATATGTCTTATATGTTGTACCCATGAATTCATACTAGCAGTGGCTACCTTCATAAGTCCTCCACAGGAATGGGCCTGTCAGCGTTCTAACCACCAGTCTAAGAGGAACAAAGGTTACAGTGTGTGTGCTTGTGAGGGTCACATTCTCAGTGGTATATCTACTAGTACCTCACCCCTTACTCAACCAGTAATCTTAATTAAATAAAGTCTTCCCCCTTTAAAACGACAACAACAAAAAACTACATGAAAGTAGAGGGAGACTTGAGAAGAAGAAATTTGGGGGCAAGGGGAGGAATAATAGGAGAACTTTGATCAAAGTTTATGCATTCATACATATGCATACAGTATTGTACACATATATACACACATAAATACACACATGAAATTATTAAAGAATAAAGTTTAAAACAAGAAACTTGGAGTCAAATGGCAATAATGGCTCGATGGAGGAGAAGTTCTAAACAGAATGGGCCATAGTTAACTTTTTCTTATGGAGAGAAATTGTTAGCACTTGAATGATACACCAGAGAGGGTGGTTTTGAAACTGCTAAAGTTTACATTAGAGTGCTGGCTGTCATGTTGCTGTTTACTCCCTGGTTTGTGGTATAAATGATTAGAAAGAAACCAACCACAGATTCTCTGCTATGTGAAAGTTAAACAACTGAGTGATTTCACGTGCATCATCTCATTTGATTCCCTTTAGAGACAGCAGGGCTGGTATATCCATTTATAGGTGGCGGATGGTCTTGGAGACACTGTCCAACCTAAGCCTTCCAGTTTCTGGGCTTCCGCTCTGTCCTAACTCTGCTCAAAATCATACTTTTATCACATATTGATGACAGTGTCTTCTAAATCAGCCCCATGATGGGGCATTCACCACTTGAGATAATTGTTTTCTCTTGATATTACACAGGAGATCGCTTTGGCCCGGGAGCTACCAGTGACCCAGAGGCATCATTCCCTATTCAAGATGTCCTAGAAAACTATATTTACTACTTTCAGAGTGTTCATGAAAGCATCGAACCAACCCATGATGTGTTCAGTTTTTATGTGAGTGACGGAAGCAGTCGCTCTGAAATTCACAGCATCAATGTCACCATTGAGGTAAAGACTATAGATGTTGGGGATTAAGCCTTTGGCCATACAATATCTCACTCTTAAAAGAGCTGTGCTTAAACGACGTGATATCCCAGTCTTAAACAAGCTGTTTTTATATCGACTCACAAGCAAGGGGTTGGATGTGACCTTCAACTTTAAATATCAGTTTTAACACATAACCTTGACCTTCTGGAAACATGTGAAATCATAGTTGTCATTTGGGGAAGGGCAGGGTTGGAAATCTGGACATCTATTTTAGGAGAAAATGTATTTGTTCTGGGTAAAACAGTTTGAAGGAATCAGAGAAGTCATGTCATTCCCATATTTAGATGAAAATTAACATATGCCCATTTTTCTCTGACATTATCACATGTGGGCCTGCATGCATTCTTGCCTTTTTAAAAATTCCTTTAACTATAACATCAAGGAAATTTGATCCCCAATCTTACACTTATTTTCATTTGAGAAACTATTACGATAGTCTTGCTTTATGATATCAAGGAGAGGGAGAAAAAGATAAAAATACCCTGTGCCTTGGGAAAATAAAGTGTGTGGAACTTTCAGGAACTGTAAGATCCAGGAGCGAAGCTGGAGTGGGAGGCAGCACTAGAAACTCTGCTTCCCAGTGTCCTCACCTTTTACAGCTACTGTGAGACATTTAGAGACATCTAAGACCATCTGACTTGATCTTCCAGTAAACTTGTATTTCTAAATTATCCATCCATCATTTAAGTAAAAAAACTATGGTCTGCTGTACCTCTGGAAGACATCCTAGAAACTGTTTGCAGAATACCCACCAACCTCCTCCTTTCGGAGTGACCTTTTGCTTATGTGACTTTTTATTTTAAACTAATATTTTGACTAGGAAGGAAACACAGTTACACATCAAGGGCTGTTTAGTTAATGACAGTCGTTGCCATCACGATACATTCTCCTAGTGCTGTTTTCTTTCTTCTTAAACTAATATCTGTGTGAGACCGAGTGTTTTATACTTTAACCAGAGGAAGAATGATGAGCCTCCCAGGATGACCTTGTGGCCCCTCAGAGTCCGGCTGAGCTCGGGAGTGGTGATAAGCAATTCTTCCTTGAGCCTGCAAGACCTGGACACCCCAGATAATGAGCTGGTTTTTGTGTTGATGAAAAAGCCTGACCACGGTAAGACACAAGCCACAGTGGAAAGCGGCTGCTTAATTGGGGGTGCCTGATGGGCGGTGAGCATGAGCTTGGAGATGGGTTCATTATTCCTTTCCCTTTCCTACTTACAGCCCATTTTTGCATCCAAATATAACCAGTTTCACAGCTAGCCAAGAGTCTTTGGAGTTGCAGTAGATGCTGTTTTAAAAGCCTGCGTGCTAAGTAATTGGTGTGCCTGAAACTTCACTTCAGCTCTTTTCTTGCTCTCCTTTGTAATCTCAAGCAAAACAGGTTTTAGTGTTTGCATCTTCTTCTCAAGGTGGACATCATCATTTGATAGCTAAGACTGCCTCGTGTAGTCTGTCAGAACTCTCATGAACCTGTTCCCTTTGCAACAGCATCGGTCCCTAATTCAAAGCAAATGTAGAAACTGTGGGGACAGACCCTCCATCCCCTGTTCTAAGCGGCACACCCAAGTATTACCTAAAGCTCTGGAGCCACACTGTATCAATCAATCACTCTTAACATGGTTGGACTTTCAAAGACTCAATTGCTGCAGTGGCTGAAGGGTTAATAATGAGAGAGGCCACTGGTCATTGCATTTTCAGCTTGCCTTCATTCACTTTCACTTTCTCCGATGAAGCATTTTTAATTGTTCTCTTGGGTTGTGTGACCCCTTAAAAAACAAACCTCAATATGAGCATACTTACCTTCTTCCTGAATTTAAAAGGAATTTAAGATATATGCCCTCTGTCTGCATCCTGTAAGCAGAAGACAGAGGAGTGCTATGTTCACTTGGCAGAAGGGAAATAAAGTTCAGATCATGAAGTGAGCTTGAATCCCGGGAGGGAGGTGTGATTTCTAAGCCACTATCTTGTCGTATCCCTCTTTGTCTCCTTAAGAGATTTTTATTTTATTTTATCTTTTGTTTTAATTTTAATTTAAATTAGAAACAAGCTTCTTTTACAGGTCAATCTCAGTTCCCCTTCCCTCTTCCCCTGACCCCCACTGACCCCCCTATCCCAACCCTTTCTGCTCCCCAGGGAGAGTGAGGTCTTCCATGGGGAATCTTCAAAGTCTGTCATATCATTTGGAGCAGGGCTTAGGAGATTTTTAAACCACAAGAGTGGGACTTTCTCTTTTTTATTTATAGAAGAGGCCGTAGGGCATAGCCTGTACTCACATATAAAATGCTAAGTGTTGGCACCAAGAGTCTCTGACGTACTTGTTCTATGTAAGCTATGTATGCTAGTTGGCAAGACTGGACTATGTTTTGATTATATAAATACATAAAAACCATTGTTTCTATTCCTCTCCCCCTTCTGCAGGCCGCCTACTTCAGAGGCCCACTGCTTCTGACCCTCTAGAGAATGGGACTGTTTTAGACCAAGGCTCCTCCTTCACCTACCAGGATGTCCTGGCTGGGCTGGTTGGGTTCTTACCTAATGACAATGGTATGACCGTAGATGAGTTTCGGTTCTCTCTCACTGATGGCCTTCATGTAGACATGGGAAGGATGGAGATCTACATAGAACTGCCTACAGGCGACAGCCCCCACTTGGTGATTAACCAAGGACTTCAGCTCCCCGCAGGTGGGTTAGCTTTCTGTCACCACAATACACATCTACTGAAACACTGTAACAGGAAGCACACGGCTTTGGGCTTTGTGGTTTCACAGGTTGCAGTTCCTCGGCCACTGCCTCCAGTATTTTCCGTGCTAAGGAAGAATATCATGGCAGAAGCAGGCATAGTAGATCCTAGCTGCTTGCCTCGTGATAAGCAGGAAGTAGCAATGGACTGAGGACCAGAGCAGTATCTGGCTGCTGAGGCCATACCCCCAAGGACCTACTTCCCCAGCTAGGCCCTACCTGTTTACATTCTTAGCTCCTCCCCCCCCCACCTCCCAAAAATGGCATCAGCTAGGGACCGAGCCTTCAATGCATGAGCCTCAGAGAACATTCCATATTCAAACCATAGCAATGCCTGCATGAGTGAAGAGTAGTCTCATTTCCCTGTACTTAATTATTTTTGTAGCCCATGTGGACATTACCTTCTTCCATGTTGGTGCTGTGGGTGAATCTTATGGGAGCTAGTCGACATTTAAGGAAAGTAGAGTTTTGGGGAATTGCTGTTTAGAAACGCTGAGTTGTGAATAAGAATTATGAGCCGATGAAACTCTCCAGACAAGACACCTCTGTCTGTGAATTTGAGAACATTTTATGAAGTGTTTACAATATTTTCAGTGTCCTCTAAATTATAGTGTGCAGCTTAGACACAAGTCTCCCGTAGCAGAGCCTCTATCCAGCCAGAATCATGGAAGCCAACAACAAAAGAATTCTGGCAAGGTTCCAAGATCTTTAATTTTTTAAAGCAAATGGAAGAGCAATTGGGAGGCTACCAGGAACTAAAAGTTTATGCAAATGACTGAAAATTATTTTAGCATCAAATTGCCATACTTTTGCCATGTTTTAGCAGCATTGAAAGAGCAATGTTATGTGTTAGCCTTGGACATACTATACTAAAGGTAGGAAATTATCAGGGAGTGGGCCTTTGGCTAGAGTTTTGGTGTACTAGGATTCTGTAGTTCATCTAGTCTTAGTTTCATATATATTTTGTATTGAAAAATAAATATATGGTATAAATAAAATTTTCAGTTTTGAGAACTACCAAAGCTTCCAGAAACCAGCATTTTGATACCTACCAGCAAAGTGGCTTGTTACCATTTCATGGACTCCAGGAGAAAACGTGATATTTTTTTCCATCAAAGAAAAAGTACTGAATTGCTTACAGTGTGGTAGGCAGCATGGGGATAAGGAAGTTCAAATCACTTCCCTCTGTCCCTTCAGACTCCAGGAGTGTTGCAGAGGGACCACAGGGGTGAGGTCACATGTACTAGGATACATGACACAAGAGGAACATTGAGCTTGGATATATTCCAGATTCTAGCAAACACTGAGCAAGTCTGATCTTCGTCCCAAGGAAGACATTGCCTCATCCCTCAAGGTGCTGGGTAGAGTGCTAAAGACCATGCATTCTTGAAGGAAGGTAGACTGCCACTCCAAACACCAAGATATGGGGCGTGAATGATGAGTGTTTTCACCAGTATTTGCTGTTTTTAAGATGAGAAAGTAGCTGGGCAGGAACAAAGGTCAGTACTCTGACAAGTGTTTTATGGTGAGTGGCTCGCCTTTGTCTCCAGTCTCTACAGAGCCCCTTAACCTGACCCTTGAGCTTAGTTTACCTTCTGACTTAAGAAACACTGATTCTGACTATTTCACATGAGATGACAATGAGATATGCTTATGAGCTTATGTGCCCCTGGTGTTTTCTTATTTGGTTATTCTAAAGACAGCAAGTAAATTAAATCAAAACAGATTTCTTAAACCCAAGATATAGAAGTTATTTGCCTCCTAGAAGTAGTTGTTGTTTCCAGGTTCTAACAAGCAGGCTACTACAGGCACAAGCACTGGAGAGAGGAAAAGTGGACGCAAGCAAAGGGCATAGTTCTAAATGATTTTATTTAGGGAAATTAGAGTTTATTCAGCTGGAAATGGAGACAGGCAAATGCCTGGTACCTGGGCCCGAGTAATGGGTGATAAAAAGTCATTTGGCATCGAATTTGAAGGCAATGATGGGGAATGACCTTCTCTCTCCTGTTCTTTCCCAGGGTCTGTAGCACGCATCACAGAGCAGCACTTGAGAGTGACAGATGCTGACTCAGAAGATGGACAGATTCTGTACATCATGAAGGAGGACCCTGGTGCAGGACGCCTGCAGATGGTGAAGCCTGACTACCCAGAGCAGATCTCTGTTAGAGGCCCCATCCGGAGCTTCACCCAGGCAGACATTAACCAAGGTCAGCCTGTTCCCCTGCCTGTCCAGGTTCCCTGTGCTCTGTCTGCTTTAATAAAGTGGGGGCTAAGAGCCTGACAGCTTATGGCAGGAGCCCATGCATTCTTGGTTTTCAATACGAGCTGAATTATAGATTCATTTTTTCTTGGTCTCACTTTTCTTTTGTTTAAAAGAGAGAGAGAGAGAACTATTTTTCTAGGAAAAAGATGCATTTTCTGAGAAATTTGAGGCGATAATAGAGGGAAAAGATGTCATTTTGTCTTGCTGTGTTGCTAAAAAGTATGTGTGTGCGAGCAAAAGAAAAGAGAAGCCGGTTGGGATGGATTATGGTGAAAATTACGCCTTCCTTAGGTGAACAATTTATATCTCTTCCGGCTCCCCAAAGAGCACAAGTTAATGAACTAAGCGAAATGGAAGGGCATAAATCGGAGCTGCCTGGGGGAGATTACACGGCTCATCCCTCCTTCAGGAAATGCTGATGTAATGCAAAGGCATAAGTGTTAAATGCTACATAGTCACTATATAGCGCTTTCAGGGGCAGAAGAGGGGGGAAAAGTCCAAAGCCATGTGACCCCATGCAGTTCCTTTCAGAGGTAGAAATATGCCCCCCCCCACACCAAGGAGCAGAAATATGGTCTCTGTCAATACGACACCTAAACCTGAAAGCAGCTGATGATCACTGGATCTGTGGGTCAGTGGAGAGGTGTGATGAGCTACAGGATAATGTAGTTATTTTAATTACTGTGTTACTCTGTGTCTTCTTGTGAAAAATGAGACCAAGCAGCTCTTACCGGAGTTTGGTTATATTTGCATTGATGGGTCCATGCAAGTGATGTGAGTTAAAAATAAATAAATAAATAAATTTGGTTATATTTGCATTGATGGGTCCATGCAAGTGATGTGAGTTAAAAAAAAAAAAAAATAGGACATACTGTCCTTCCTTTGCATCCTTCCTGGCTTCTTTGTGAAGAGTTTGTGCCAGCCTACCTTCCTCCTGGGAAGATGTTGCCAGTGGTACTCCATGTACTGGGCCATGAGGAGTGAAAGGTTTCTGGAGAGGTGGGCTGCAGGCCTGCCCTCTCTTGCCTTGTGATGTGGATACATTGGAGGGTGGCTCCAAATGATGTGGGCGTGGTCAGTGCATGTTGTGCACATGTGAGGTTTCACTCCTCTAGTTGTTCTAGAATCTAAGCTAGGTCCTTCAAAAAGGCTGAGCCCTGCCATAAGAAATGTCACTTGGAGGACATTTGTTATGAGGTTTTAGGATATGAGGAAGTTGGCCGTAGGAGAGGAAATGAAAACTTTAAATTAAAATGTCAGAAATAATACCCAAGTAAGGGAGGTGTGCATTGATTCCTTGGTGTGAATACCAATTGAAGTTCCACCTCTCACTTTATAAATAAACAGCAAAAAGAACTAATAACAAATCTTGGTTTTGTTTTTGTTTTGTTTTTCTCCTCCTATTTATAGGGCAGATAGAATACAGCCATGGACCAGGAGAACCTCTCGGGAGCTTTGCTTTTAAATTTGATGTGATTGATAGAGAAGGCAATAAGTTGGCTGACCAGTCATTTGCTATCAGTGTTTTATCCCTCCCTCCCTCCCTCCCTTCCTTCCTTCCTTCCTTCCTGCCTTCCTCACATCTGGTGAAGTCTAGCACTGTCTCCTTGGTGACACCTCTGAGAAACAGCTCCAGTGATTGCCCTGAGCCTTCCTCCTGGGCACCAGACTTGGAACTGAAGGAAGGGGGCTGAGAATTCTCCATGATGAACCACTGTTTCTGATATTTTCAGAAGCCGAATTCCCACCAGTCATTATCACCAATAAAGGGCTTGTCTTGGATGAGAACTCAGGGAAGAAAATCACCCCTGCACAGCTCTTGGCCACTGACCAGGACAGCAAGGCTGCAGAGCTGATCTACAGAATCACTGCCCAGCCCCAGCTAGGCCGCCTGGAACATGTGGCATCACCAGGTATGTGGTCCTGTCTTAATCCATCCTGCCCCAAGTGAAGACTCAGTAAGTGCTGGGGACTGCTGCATCCTGTGTACACTCACAGTCTGCCTCACTAATTTATTTTCTGCCTCACTAATTTTGACCATTATTTGCTGGTACATTATATTAAGTTTACATTAAGCACTTCATAATAGTTGGTAAAACCAAATTAGGAAAATGACAATGTGGAGTAAGGAAATAGCTCCTTGGAAGTGGGTATAACCATAACATGAATAAAACCCTGAATTTGACCCTCAGAACCATAAAAACCCTATAATTTCATGTAAGTTCTCTTATCTCCATAACTAGATAGTCACCATCTCTAGAGTAAACTGTACCCCTCTGGTCTTTTGTATTACTCAACTGCAATGCACAGTGTAATGTCCTGTTTGTAAATATTTACCTCAGGTGGGAGTATGACTCAGAGTTAGGGTGTGTAGTTAGCATACACGAGGGCTTGGATTCAGTCCCTAGTACCATGGGGAGAAAGACTGGATTCAACAGACGGTGAAGGAGAATGTGTACCAAACAAGACAGCTGCTCAGCCACTGCTTAGGAAGCAAAGATGAGTAAAATGCATCCTCACCTCCTGAATTTCTCTTCTGGGTGGGGTAAGGAACCTCCATAGATCCTGTAACTCAAGGAAGACAGGTGTAGACCTGAGTTGAAGGAGTTCAAAACCCAAGAAGTCTACCTTGAGTAAAAAGCACACTGAGGTAGGCTTAGGTATGTTCAGGGAAGTTAGATTTGCATTCTTTCCAGAGGTGGAAAAAGCATAAGCCAACAAATAAATTTGAAGTGGACCATATTAGTATAGACTAAAATTAGGCGATTGGATTAGTGTGTACATTATAATACTATGGAGAGTCCTCCAAGCTGAAATAAATAATCTCTGTTCAGCAGAAAACAAATAGATCACTGTAGACTTTTGAGAAGGAAGAAAAGTACCTAATGGAATGAAATGGGGGAAAGAAAAGGGAGACAATGGCCGTGGTAAGGAAGATTCCATACTGAGCCAATAGAAGGCAACAAAGCTTCATCGCCTGGAGAGGCAATAGCAAAGGGAGAATATGATAGCAACTTGGTATCTTTGAAGTATTCACTCGTGTGAGGTGGGTGAAGGAGAGAGACTGGGGAGAGTTCAGTGGAGAACCTGTAGATTTTGGCAGCTATATAATGTGAGGGGCTCCAGATACTTTCTGAGTAAATCCAAAAGTAGAATTGCTGTCACTTCTTAGAGGCATTGACAACTTGAAAGATTTAGGTCTTGTTAGGATTTCCTTGGGTTTTATGTTGCAGATTCCTCATTCCATGGAAAACATCAAGTCAGGGGACATGGCTTCCCTTCCAGACTCACTTTCTCATACAGAGTCAGACATAAGCAGACAAACACGTGAATCTGTGTCACGTGTAAATGGTTGTTAGGGAGGAATTGAGTATCCAGGGGCGCAGGAGGGAAGTGGGGGAAGGCCTCCCTAATAACAGGATGGCATTTGAGGAAAGTGGAAGACAGAAAAGGAGTTGGTTATGCTTATGAATAAGAAAAAAGGTTTGACAGGAAAGTGAGCAACTGTCAACATCCTGGAGTGGGCTCAGCCAGGCAAGACTCAGCAAGGAGGCCAGTGTGCTTTCAAAGTTAGAGGGGAAGGTTGAGAGAGAAGACCTTGCTTGGTCCGCTGTGGTGGTAGAGATGTGTGGTTCCCAATGTGTGTGGAAGAGAGTACAGAAAGGAATGAGCTGGCTGGCAAATTAAAGCAGGTGGCCTTCCCTTTTGTCCCAAAGTTCCTGCAGGAAATATGCAGATTAGCACCCTCTATACCTTGGCTGTGTGAGATATTTAATAACTAATTCATGAGCTAATTGCTTCTGCCAGAATTCTGTCAGGTTGCTGATTACATCTCTGCAAAGATGAAAGGGCAGGCACTTGGCTGTGGTGTTAGGAGACCGTGGCTTGAAGAGATTTATAAAAAAAAAAAAAAAAAAAAAAAAAAAAAAAAAACAAGCTTCCTGCAAGGCCCAGCCCTTGCTCTCCTCTGAGCCCAGGCTGGTTCACAGTCCTATAGAACAGGGCTGCGTGCTATTTCTCTTTTCTCTTAACAGTTCTTTGGCTTCAATTCTGCTAAGACCAAGCTGTCCCTGTTTCAGGGGATGTCAGGAGATACCCATTCTCTTGCCTCTTCCTGGGGTGGTACACCCTCCAAAGGCAGAAGGATTCCCATTTTACCTAGGCTGTTACTTTATCTGCTCTATCCAGACAGACTTAACTTCCTAATCCATGTGGTCTTCTGTCTCACCAGCATTTCTTAATCTACCAGTGACACTAAGTAGTAGATGGGAACATCAAGCCCCTGTCCTCCTCACAACACACCTGAGGTCTTCATTGTCACAAAGACAGGGATTGCCCACCCTTCCCTCTCTCTTAACTGAGACCAAGCCCCCTTTCTTACACTTAGCCCGTATCCTCTTTCCCTGTTCTCTCCCCACCCTCCAGTTAGAACATCAAGTATTCAATTCTTTTTGAATGCCCAAGGTCTTCTTGGAAGGACACATGTAGATTACCTCATCTTCTCCCAACACAGCTACAACTTAGACCAGAGCATTTGTCCCACAAGGTAGGCCTGAGTCAACCAGGATCTGGGGTTGGGACAGGGCCAGTTCTTCCCAAGAGCAGAACAATTCCTAAGTAAAGAGGTGTGCCTCTTTACTGCAGGTACTGAGGCCTCCTGGAGAAAGCACTGGCCTCCAGTGTGTGCTGGCACCTCTTGCTGGCTTGCATAGAGTGGACTTATCACCAGACAGCCATGAGATCTGATGTCAGTGGGTCAGAACTGAGTGTGATCCTAACACAGTCAAAAGAGTTATGTGAAACCTCTTGCTTTCCCCTTTGTGAACCCTGCTAAGAGACAAGGTTAGCAGTCCAGACCCCATGGAGCTCTGATTCAGGTTAGAAGACCTGGGCCTTCACTGGGGACTTACCCTCCTCCCAAAAGCCCCAATGACTTTTTTTTTTCTTGGAAAATTAGAATCAGGAGTAATACTAATTAGGAAAGAGGCTAAGATACCAAAAAACAAAAAAAACAAACAAAAAAGAAAGAAAAACAGAAAGCAAGAAATGTCTTTTCCATCACAGAATGATCCAGAGGCTTGAGGTGGGAGGTAGCTTTGTCCCTGGTTCATGGTGACTGCTGTACTTGGCCTGCTGTAGAAGAAAGAGAGCCAGGAGCTCTGGTCCCAAGTACTGTGTGTTTTACTGGTACTATGAGATGGACAAACATCACTTTTGTGTGATGACAGCCACATACAGCTGAGAGATGGGGACAAATGCAGCCTCTTCCTGGGCACCCATTTGCTTACATTTTTTAGCTAGGGAGGAATAATATTAGAATATGGCTCTCTCCATCATGGCAAGACCCAGGGACCAGGAGCTTGTCACTCCTGAGGTGTAAGTAGTCACCCTGGCTCAAATACTGGAAGGTGTAGTGGTAGCTAAACAGTCCTTTAGAGGACAGAGGTGGATGGACTTATTAGATGTCTTGCAATGAAATGGATCTTTCCTGAACCAAATAATTACTATGCGTGAAACTCCCATTATTGCTATTAATAAGGAATGTGACATCCAAACCAAAACCTGTATCCTTGCCTTGATTTTAATTTTATTCACCATATAGAGAATTGATAACATTGCAGCACCATCAGGCAACAGAGCACACAGCTCTTGGCCCCTTAATGATTTCTGTTTCCTTGAAGGACCTCAGGAGCTCTGGGGTAGCTGCTGTTTCTAGTATACTTTAATGCTGCTGGGTTCCTCTTGCATGCACAAACATGCTCCTCAAAGTTGAGGTGAGGTGCTACTTACTTGGCCAGACCAAGAAAAAAACCCTCAAAGACTATGAGACTTCTTAAAGGCATTCAGGGGCCCAGTGAAAGACCATTGCTGATGGGTCACCAGCACGTATTTCAGAATGCAAGGTTGTCGAGGCTGCCTTCATTCCCTGTCAGAGCCACTAGGTGCCCAACCTGAGAATCAGAGAACCTTTTCAGGGGATGGCATCTTGCTTAATAAGGGTGGAGTTTGACTTCTGGTCCACAGAAGTACCAGCAGGGCAGCCCAAAGGCAGGTCTATCCATCTGTAAGCTCTGAAGCTTCTTGATTCCGCTTGAGACATTGACTGAGGAGACGTGTTGTATACACAGCCTGGTTCCACTTAGCCTCTGTGAGTGGTACATGACTAGTCTCATTCCCCAAGCCTTCTAGAAGCCTGTATTTTCCACAATTCTGAGAGCTGCATGCTTACCTCAAGGGATCTCCTTGCTCTCAAATCTTAAATCGAACAGCTGAAGAATTCTACCCTGGTGTATTTACTGAACGCTTGAAGCCTCTTGTTCATTACCAAGCACACTATCGGCCTTTTAGGCTGAAGTATTATTTGGTACAGGGTGGATCCTATTGTTGAAATCCTCTGGCTGTTGTGAGCCCATAGGGAAAGGCCCTGCATTAAAAGTTAATTTACAACAGTGTTACCATGATTTGCTGCTTTTTGCCCTGAGTTTGCTTCCAAGGTCTCCCTTCTCAA